GTGTTTCAGAAACTGCTGATCTACTGGGATTTTCTTGCACAACCATCTCTAGGGTTTACAGAGAATGGTCTGAAAAAGAGAAAATATCCAGTGTGCGGCAGTTGTTTGGGTGCAAATGCCTTGTTGATGCCAGAGGCATAAGTTTTAATAGCACAATAATTGTAAGTTTAATAGCACAATTCAACACTTTTCTGGGAAGTCTAACAGTATTGAGGTACAGAAATTGAATAATCACAATGCAAAAAATGCTTTTCTTACTTAGTTTGGTCTCATTTCTAGTCCAAATATCGAAACATTCTTAAATCAAGTAAAAATATTGCTTTGCTTTCAGCTTCAGAAGAAATATTTAGGAGTCAAAATTAAGAGTTTTTTTCCTCAAAACATGTAAAATAAGGAAATTACCCCGAAAGTGCTGAAACGATAGAGTGTGCAGCTCTAGATTACATTGTGAAATTCATTATATAATTATCTTCCTTTTCAATAAAAAATGTTATTTTTGTGCGTGATTGTGATTGTGTTTGTGTGTGTTGGCTTTAGTAGGTTTAATGTTGACAATGTTCTTTTATTTCAATTAGTAGCATTAGTTTTCATCCAATTATTATAATTTATTTTATTCTTAATCTTATCCTAAACTATTTTAATATGAATACTTTGAATTAGATTTTATAGATCTCATTTATTTTGTTATTAATACATTGGAAACATTACCGTTTTTAAACCTTTCCGCTTTTTAAACTACACAGATTTTCTGCACAGATATACCCCAAAGATAGAAACTGCAGACCAAAACATATTGATCTGAGAGAGAGAGAGAGAGAGAGAGAAAACGAACGAAGGAAGGAAGGAAGCAGCTTTTTCTCCACTGCATCCTGATAAGACACACCTGTGATTCCTCCAGCTCTAAATAAAACACCACCAAATGCTTTTTACAGTAAGAAGATCATTTTTTAAATATTATTTTTTCATCAGCTTGTCATACAGCTTAAACCCAGTCACTGCCTTTGAGCTTGACAAGTCAAAAGGCAAAACCAAGGACTAAACATGAGATTAAGTCAAACTAATCCTGCATTTTAAACGTTTTACATGTTGCAGAAAGCTGAAATGATGATGACTATGCATTTTATTCTTGTGTTTTATCAAAATGCTCCATAGTGCTAGAAAAGAATAACCTAGTCTAATATATGGATGGCTAAAGACTACATCTTCCGTAATGTAAATCAATTTAAGGTAGGGCTTCTTGATGTTGCAAAAATCTGACATTGAGATATTTTGTTTTGCTGTGATATATATGAGCAATATCACACGAGTAGCAGTGCAATATGGCTGTATGTCGGCACTGGTGGGAGGCTTACGTTGGCTCAAGCCGTAGGCCGAGTGCCATAGTGTCCCACCAGTGGCGATATACAGCCATATCGCACTGTTATGAGTGTGATATTGTGTTTATACTACAGTTTGACGACATAATCATGTATATAAAAAAGAAAATCAAACAGGCAGAGTCTAAAATTCTTTTGTAAGAGGATCTACTTTCTTCAGCCATTCATTCACATCTGCAGCTGGTCAGAACAGCAGAAGCTGTTACCTAATCACCAACATCACTTTTTGAATGATTTTCTAGCGTAATGTCAAATGTGATGACAAAACAGGAGATTTTGACCACATTTTAATATTATAAGGCTGAACAGCATAAAATGCCATTATTCTACAGAGATTTCCTAGTATTTCTTGGGATTTCACAATAATAAACCCTGATAAAGCAATGAAAAGCAAAAGCTACGAGAGTACTATGGCATAAATAGAGCGCTACAACATACAAAAGAGCGAGATCGACACTTATCTGTTCTGTAATTATTTGTTCAGCTCTAGTTTGAAACTAATGCTTAAAAAATGCTGTTTTTTTCCCCCTAAGGACTTATTATGCTGTCTCTATCGCCATCTTGTGGTAAAACGTCAACCCTCTTTGCTCTGCTATGACAGGCTGATAGCTGCCGAAGCGCTTTATCTCCGAAATTTTAAACATTTGAATTAAAATAGGCATTATCCTTATAAAAAAACTACATAGCTGCAATCTAAACAACTACATTCTTGACTAAAAAGCCTCAAAAGTACATTATGTTGTCCAACAGCTGCAATATTTGTCAAACAGTGGTGAGTTTACTGATCTGCTGTCACTCTATGGTGGAGTAACACACAATGTGAGGAGGCTGTATGAGTTCTGATATTGGAGAATATCCCAATCAGCTAGTCAGATTGGAGAACCAGACAGAACTGTTGTATAAATTGTGATATGAACATAATTTCACCAGGTGATATTAATAGCTCTATTTGGAAAGATTTTATCAATTTAGATCAACCGAGATCAAGTCTGGGATGATCAAGTGCATCTGCATAAAATGTAATAAATTACAAGCATATATAAATACAGCAGAGCAAAAATATAAGTTAAATAAACAGTGCTTTAAAGTTTTCTGCGGAGTATAACAGTATTCAAGTACAGAAATGTAATCAAGCACAAAATAACATGGCCATCATATATATATTCATACATTTTTCTTTGGCTCAGTCCTTTTATTTATCAGGGGTCGCCACAGTGGAATGAACCACCAACTTTAAAGCATATGTTTCACATAGCGAATGTCTTTAAACTGTGGGGGAAACCAGAGCGCCCGAAGGAAACCCACAGGGAGAACATGCAAACTCCACACATAAATGGCAACTGACCCAGCCGGGGCTCAAATCAGCAACCTTCTTGCTGTGAGGCCATTGTGCTAACCACTGAGCCACCATGTCGCCTTGTATAAATACATTCATTCATTCATTTTCTTTTCGGCTTTGTCCCTTCATTAATCTGGGATCGCCACAGCAGAATGAACCACCAACTTATCAGCATATGTTAATTCAAGGTGAATGTAATGAGGTAATTTTAACACCATATACTGTGTATATTTTCAAGAAGATTCATCCAAAGTAACTGCAAAATAAATTTTTCATAAATCCACAGTAAAAATAAATAAATAAATCTTGCCTTCAGCTGAACAATTAAGTGATTTGCAAGCACACATGACCGAGTGGGCAAATTAATTGCTACATCTCAATTAAACACAAATACTCCACAATGACGAAGACAGACTTTTGAATAGAGATCCATTAGCCAAATCTGAAAATAGGGAGAACATTTTTCCGTTGATTGATGGAGAACTGAATAGAAAAGAAGCACATCAGAGCACCATACAAACTCCAGCTCCATCTGTTTTACACAAAAACAAGCAAATAAACTCAAACAGAAAAGCAGTGTTTTATATGCGAGCTGAAAAACTCATTTTTAGGGCCCTAAAAAGGGACTATTTCACAAACCTGCCAATTTCACAGCACTTTCCACAGCAGATGGTTTATCTGGAGTTGGGACTATAAATGCATTTGACCAAAGCTACGCATTTGTTATCAGTAACCACTTTTATGACTTGCAACACTAATAAAAACAAAACATCTGAAATCTTGCGACTGCTGAGCACTAATAAGTCTCACACCCGTTTTGCCCTCACATTGCCCTAAAACTCACTCTGAAGAAAAAGTAAGTGATTTCCAAAAACAGCTTCTGCTCCAGTGCTCTCTCCAGCCCCCTGCATCTCCCGCCATCTGTAGGTGTTTGTGCAGCAGTATATGCAAGATTTAACCCACAGCTGACCTGCTTTATACAGCCTTTTCCACTCCAATATACACTCGCAAATTGGTACTTGATATTTTTTTCATGCAGCGGATGCCCTTCCAGCCGCAACCCAGTACTGGGAAACCCCAATACACACTCATTCACACAACATACACTACTGCCAATTTAGTTTATTTAATTCACCTATAGTGTATATCTTTGGACTGTGAGGGAAACTGGAGCATTCGGAGGAAACCTATGTGAACACGGGGAGAACATGCAAACTACACACAGAAATGCCAATTGGCCCAGCTCGGGACTCGAACCAGCTACCTTCTTGTTGTGAGGCAACAGAGCTAACAACTGAGCCACCGTGCCGCATGATATTTTTTTAATATCGAGTTATTTTTTTTATATAATAACTACCCTAACATCAACCCCCAGTCAAATTGTTAATCTTACAGATTCATCATTTAGCTGACACAATGGCTCTGTTCAGGTTTTACCATCAGTCTGGGGACTAATGGGTCCCAGGGTTTTATTGTTTTTATTAATACTACAACTGTTTGTTATTATTGTCTGTAATTAAATTATTATAATATATTTTATGTAATATGTTTTGTTTCTATACCTGTAAATATTTTTTAAAAATGGTCCCAGTTTTTTTAGTTATAATTATTATTATTACATTTTTTTTATGATAAATGCTACTACTACTACCACTACTAATAATAATAATGATAATACTCATAATACACAATATATAATAATAGTAAATTGCAGAATTTATCATAATAATAATAATAATAATAGTCAAATGTTTAATGCACCAAATGACCTTTTTTTTTTACAGATAGAAAACATAACATCTAAAAATTTCTTCCAATAAAGCATTACAACAACAAAAATCCATCAGTATTTAACATTATTTGCTAATTATTGCAATGAACATTTCATGTTTAAAAATCACACTAGAAGCATTCGCAACTATTCCAAGTCAGTCAAAATGATAATCAATGAGAAATGATTATTACTATATTATTAATAAACTTCATACTTTTTAACAGCTTGGCAAATAAAATAATTAAAATAATAATAATGTGACTTCTTAACATTTCATTAACATACAGTACCATTCAAGGCCTAAATTACAATCAAACTCAGGTTTTCCACAGTTGTGGGAATTCTAGTTCCTAAAATGATTGAAAAAGAGAATAAAGTAAGAAAAAAGCTAACAAATGGTTTTAGCTAATTCCAAATAAATTTAATTCATTGAGATCTCCCTGACATGTCCTGGACCCCAATTAAGAACCAGCTTCTGTACAATATTACATTAATCCTCATGTAGCCATACCTGTAGGAGCTTCCAGAGGAGACTTCTCGTTTGATCTGCCGATTGAGGGCATCCACAGCCGCCCTTCCTTTCCCCTCCACAGCGCTGGCATCCCTATCCAACTTCACCCCTGCGTTGTTTTCAGAAACCACTGCCACTTTCTTCACCTGCCTCTTTTTCCTTTCACTGGACAGAATCTCCTTCTCTGGCACCTTATCAGCAATCTCACTCTTCTCCACGCCACTGTCCATCATCATCTCCGGGCTGCTGTGTTTGCCCGCTGAGATGCTTGGAGAGGGTTTGGGTATCCATGGGTGATCTCCCTTCTTTGGGATAGGCCAGGGCTTGTAGTCCTTCTGATACTGGGTCTCGGTGTTAAAGGGGATCTCAGGGCCGTGGTACTCGTTCTTGGGCTTGCAGCTGGGCTCCGGACGAACTTTCCAGTGTTTAAAGTCCTGGCGCATCACAGAGCCGAAGGAGTGCTCGTCGTGGCCGGCATGAGGTGCTCTGGTCACCGGCTCGTGATCATGATGAAGCGGCTGTGTTTCAATCGCGATCTTCTGCACGGGCTGCTGCAGGTGGAGATGCTGCATTTCGGACACGTCTGAGTATTTGGTGAAAACCAACGGCACCGCAATGTCGGCCTTGTCCAGCTGGCTCCAGAACCGAGCCATGCAGCAGGCTCTGGAGATACAGGGCCAAGCCATGGTGGTTTTGGCGACGTCTTCACTTATTCCAACCTCGTCCCTTCCCAGAAGCCGTTTTATATTCAGTTTGTAGGACTAAGCGCGCTCGCGAGCCGAGAAATACAAGATGTCCGATTCGCACGGTTTATTTCCCCTCAAAACGATGCTATCAAAGATGACAGGACACAAATCCACCGTATAGGAGGCATAACGGGGTTTTGGGTGTTTTGTTAGCCAGGGAAATGTTCCGGTTTTGCTCCTCTTGCGCTCGTTACAGCGCGAGATTTAGTGAAGATCCAGCAGCCCCTCCTGCGCGCCTCCTCCGCTCAGCATCATCCATCCAGAGGAGCTGAATCACCTGCCGCGCGCATCATCACGCAGCGTCTGCAGTGGGCGGGGCCAACACGCACGCACACACACACACACACACACACACGCAAACACACTCGCACGCACGCACGCACACGCCTAATACAGAAGATAGAGTCCTTGTGGACAAATGATGTGAGGGAGAGATGTTCCAAAAATAGTTCAAAGCGTTGTACTCTGCATATGTATTTAAGCGTGCGTGCGCGTGTGTGTGTGTGGCATTGGAAAGTTTTGACTTTGTGATAAATTTTTTTGTCCCAATGGGAAAAAGGAACTCATAAATCATACAGAATTAAGTATTTTGTAAAAATTCAGTGAGAGTTGGGGTAAAAGGACAGAGCAGGCCTAGTCTACTGTATAAAAATCATTATGTCTGTATGAAGTTCCCATATAATATGAAATCCCAAGTTGTGTGTGATTATTTGATTTCAAAAGTAGGAAGTATTTGTTATTCTGAACAATGTCATTTTCTGAAGAATTTTTGAAGAGTATTTATTTATTGTCTTTGCCATGATAACCCTATATGATGCCATACTTGTTATTTTACCAGTTTAATTAGGTTAACTGAAAGTTTGGTTATTAGGCACAGACAAACTGCTTATGGTGGTACAGTTGCTCAGCGGTTAGCACTGTTGTCTTACAGCAAGAAGGTCGCTGGTTCAAGTCCCAGCTGGACCAGTTTGCATGTTCTCCTCGTGTTCAGGTGGGTTTCCTCCGGGTGCTCCGGTTTCCCCATCTGTCCAAAGACATGCGCTATAGAGGAATTGATGAACTAAATTGGCCATTGTGTGTGTGTGTGTGTGTGTGTGTGTGTGTGTGCGAATGTGTGAGAAATACATCTGCTGCATAAAACATATGCTGGAATAGTTGATGGTTTATTTCACCGTGGCAGCTCCTGATTAAAAAAGGGACTAAGACAAAGGAAAATGAATGAATGAGTGATTATTATCCCCCCTGTTTATTTTTTTGTGTTCTGCTCTGAACACAATGGAGCTGTTTTTGTTGCCTGTGCCTTTAATGCTAGTTCTAACCACCCGCCGTCCCCAAATGCCTGTCAGAGTATTTCCATCTCTGTCAGATAAACAGCACAGTGACAGACATGAAAGAAGCAGATCTCACATAACATTTGTGAGAAATACTACAGTAAAAACTTTCCCAATGAATGTTTGATGTACTTTTAGAATTAATGAGTCGATGAGAATGATGAGTCACACACAATGTTGTTACAAAGTTCACGCACATACACACACACACACACACACACACACACACACACACACACACACACACACACACACACACACACACACACAGATTTAACGTTGCACTGTTTTTGCATGCAAATTTGACAGGATACACGTTAATATTCACGTTAATATGGATATCCGTTATGTTAATGTACAAAATAAACCTGATTTAATGTCCACAAACCAGGATTGAAGCATCTTCTTTTATAATTGAATTGATATGAGGCTGGGGTGATAAAGACGGTAAAATCGTTGTAATTCATTACACACATGCACTGATTTAAAAACGTTTCAAACTTGTAAAACTCATTCTTGATCACGTTTGATGATGGTTGATGATCACAATGAGCTCAACAGATCTTTTAATGCCAGTTGTTTTGTGCATGTCCTGTCTTGTTGATATGATTATATGTGTTACTACGAAGGCATGTTAATATGCAGCTGTCCATCAATTCGGTGGGCGGGGAAACCGCACTCCTACGTCACATTCGGTCAGCCTCAAAATGGGAGGGATTTGCATCCTATTTTAACATCAGGAAATTTAAAAAAGAGACTCATTGTGTTACTATCTCAACAATATGACTGTGAACACACTATACCTACACACAGTTCTGGCCAAACAGATGATTTTCCTCATAGGTGCTCTTTAAATAATAAAACTTAATTACAAGCAAAACTAAAAGAAAAAAGACTTCTCCATAAGAAAAAAAATAGGAAGTACTTTGAAAACTTTTCTTTGGTCTGTTAAACATCACATGAAATATTTGAAAACGAATATATGCCTTCAACAGCATATATTATCTGCTTAAAAAATCAGTAATTTGTGGACAGTCTTATTTTAATGTATTTACTATATTTAGATTTATTTAAAAAAATTGAATGTAAACGTGGCATTTCTCAATTATTCCAAAGTATCATCAGAATAAATATGACAATTTAAAATGACATCATGAGCTTGGCAGATCTCATTTACGGTATAGGCAGATTTTTGCGTTCATCTTTTCATGTAAGGTCTGCTTCTGCACAGCCCTTTGCCTCTGGGGTCAAAAGTCTCAGTGGTGTAAAATCAAGTTACTCTTAGGCTATAATCCTATCACCCGCAGTGTATGAGGAGATAAGGATAGGATCAGATCAAGACATGGTGTCAGACTTTGACCGTAGCCGCGAGCATGAGAGTGGGAAGCGCGACGCTGATCCCTCGGCCTCTCGCCGGCTCTTGTCCTCTTCTGGTTTAGACATGAAGATTGAGTTTGCTCCAGCTGATGTGCCTCTGGTTCGGAGGCTCCAGACAGCTTCCGTGCTGCAATGGGTCTTCTCATTCCTGGCTCTTGGTAAGCTCAAAGGGCTTTTATTATATATTTTAAGCTGCCCTGCAAAGCCTTTAACTGTTGACCTTGAATGGCATGCAATTAGAGTATGAATTGTATGTGTTAAGTGAAATGTATCTATAAAGTGTCTTAATATTTTATATGATCTTATTTTACCAAAATTGTCAAATTGAGATACAATATGTTCTTCCAGGGAGTCCTGGCCAACATATTTAACATAATAACAGATATAAACATATAAAACCAACACATTTGATCTGCTTTAATTCTCATACAACAAATTTATAAGAAAAAAAAATAATTTGGAAGTTAAATAATGTGGTAACATTTTAGTTCAGCCCACAATTCATGCGATTACCTACTGGCTTACTACCTGCCTATTATTAAGATAAGAACTATTCATTAGTTGTTATAAAGTATGATCAATTCTACATCCCTAATCCTACCCAAAACCTAAACCCATCTTCTACCTTACAAACTATTAATAAACTGTTAATTAGTAGTTTATTAAGCTTGTAGTGTTGGTTAATGGTTTATTAATACAGTGAATTGTGACCTAAACTATAGTATAACAAAAAATATCAAACAATTATTTCATACTTTTAAAAGAAGTCTCTTCTGTTCACCAGTACTGCTTTTAAAAAATGAAAAATCCCCCTAAAATGAGCACTTTGAGTTTTAAAAGTAAGTCATGTCACAAATCTCATGCCAAATTAGTTTCTTAAATATTATAATAAGATCACTATACTTAAAACTCGGTCTATAAAGTACCTTTTGAATGTACTTAAATTAAGGCTTCAAAATATATATTTATGGCAATTGTAGTATAATAATATTCATAAATGCACTGTTTTAATATTGTAATAAATTCACAAAATTAATTTGCTTGATTACATTTGAAACATATTCTAATAGGAATGCTAATTGAAGTGTGTAGGTGAGAGCGGAGCACACAGTAACACTTCTTGATTTTGGCCAAATAATGAAGAAAGTAATGGAGTTAGAAAAACCATAGTTTTTTTTTTTTAACCAACAACACACAAACCTCTCCTACAAATAAGCACTGATTGTATGATCGCTAGACCTATAGTTTCTGTGTAGTATTGCCAAAAGTGCCATGCAGGAGTAAAAATTGTTTACCCCACCTGCCGGGGAGTTTGTAACAGACAGAGGGTTAGTTGTAACACATGTGTTTAAAGTCAGATTTCACACAGTGAATTTAAATTCAGTTTACTTTAAATAGTGTATGTCCTCATGACTTAACTGATTTATTTTTATTCTACATAGCACAGCATGTTTATTTATTTATCTACTGGATAAGCACATTTAGATTTATTTGCATTATTATCCATTATTGTACAATGCATTTATGTGCGTTATTAGCAATATTTTATTTTAAAAGTTCTCAACATTACACTCAAAATTCAACAGTTATTTTGTTTGTTTAATTGGTGTCCAACAGTGTGTGGCTTATTAGTCGCACTGTTGTTACAACTAACCCGGCTGTGTTGTTTTCCTCAACTGGCTAGGAACCACTGTTTTTTGCTTCTTTAAAAATGGTTTCATTTTTTAGCCTAGAAGACGGTAAACACAACAATTGAAAATTTTAAGTACATATTTTCTCAGATTTTAAAAAATAAAACGTATAGAGATAATACAAAATACATTTATTCTGCAATTATCGTTTCTGTGTCTCGGAAGCATGCTATGGTAAACCCTGAGCAAATACCTTAACTCTGTTACATTTTACCCTGCATTACTTTGGGTTACTTTTGTTTTTGCATTACTTTGTGTCCCTTATTTTGATGGTCCATTTGAGTATTAGTAGACTGCCTGCTTAATATCTGTTGATACTGCTGCTAAACAGACATTTAACTGATTATAAGAAACTTATAGTGCATGTCAACTTACATTAACCCCAACTCTAACCCCAACCTAACAGTCTACTTACAACCTAATGAGAATTAGTTGGCATGCAGATGCAAATGTAACTTAAATTTAACAAACCAACCATCAAAATAAAGTGACCTAAAGTTTTTACAGTGAACTTGGTAGGCATGAAATACTCTCTTAAAAGATTATTATTCCAAATGTTTGACCACCAGTGTGTCTTGCATAAAATCTTGTACTTTAATACTGTCAAAGCATTAGCTTGCAATAATCTGCAATAATGCAGCCTATAAACTGATTTGTGATTGGCTAATTGCTTCTCATGAGTTCAATGTTATAAAAGCTGAAAGTAAGAAGATAAACTCGTAAAAATGGCTCTTTCTTGAAAACTCATCACTGTATTTGGGAAAAAATCATTATAAATTTTATTAGTGAGTGAGTTCTGTATGTGACTGTGATCAAATCACTGAGATCAAGGTCAAAACTTTCAGGTCAAAGTCTTTAAATCAAAAGATCCTGATTATAAATGCATTTGTTCTGATGTGTTTCTTTTATCTTGTGCATGCACTCCAAAAACCAATTAGTTACTTAAAAAAGTGATAACACGTTGCCTTAAAACCAACAAGATTATTTTACATAAAGTCAGTAAACCCACTGACTAAATTCAACTTTTATAATTATGCACATAGTGTATTCAACCCTTGTAAAGGTGCACCCCTTGAAAAAAATATTTTTGGCCCACGCTGACATTGAATAAAATACTGAACCAGCTCTGATAAATAGTAATAAGCAATTAAAATAATAATGATTTCCTATGGATAAAAGGTCGACCAGGTGGTTACGATGCTTGTTAAAGGGGTAATAACTATAGGGCAACAGGTTTATTCTCTTTTTTTTAGGTAAAGCCAACCAATTGGTTTTACAGTGTAAGTCTACAGCTCAAACGTTTTGTATATACAGTACACTTTGCATGACATGAATTTTATCACCATCAGTACAGTCTTGTGTGATTTTTCTAACCACATACATAACAAGCAAGCAGCTCATACATGCAGTTTGATTTGTTTTTTTTTATATTAATAGTATGTGTACAACTATGTATATAACTGTATACATTTGGGGTGTCAAAATATAGTTCCTGGGGGGCCACAGGTCTGTACAGTTTACTGTAGTTCCAACTCCAAACACACTTGACTTATTGAGTACTTGACCTATTGAACTAAACTTTGTAGGGCTGCAGCCCTCCAGGAACTGAGTTTGATCACAGATCACAAGTCACAGGTGTCAATTCCAGTTCTTGGAGGGCCGCAGCTCTGCACTGTTTAGTTTCAACCTTAATTAAACACCTGATCAAACTAATTGTGCACTTCAGGTTTGTTCGAGACCTACAGGTAAGTGTGTCGGAGCAGGTTTGGAACTAAATTGTGTTGGGCTGGTGCCCTCCAGGAACTAAGTTTGACACCTCTGGTTTACATGATGACCTATGTCACAAGTCTCCAAACTACAGTGTCCTGCAATGTTTAGTTTCAATACCAATGTTTAGTTTCAATACTCTTACTAGGCTTTCTAGAAACTTCCTTGCAGGTGTTTTTTTGAGGCAAGTTGGAGCTAAACTCTGCAGGACACCGGCCCTCCAGGACAGAGTTTGGACACCTCTGACCTGTACATTGTTAGTTTATGTCACAGGTGTAAATTCCAGGTCTGGAGGGCCGCAGCTCTGCACAGTTTAGTTTCAACCCAAATTAAACACACCTGATTAAACTAATTGAGTCCTTCAGACTTGTTTGAGTCCTACAAGTAGGTAGGTAAGTGTTTTGAAGCAGGGTTGGCACTAAACTGTGCAGGGCTGTGGCTCGCAGGAACTGAGTTTTACATGATGACCTAAGTCTGGGGTGACCAAACTTGGTCCTGGAGGGCCGGTGTCCTGCAAAGTTTAGTTTCAACCCCAATCAGACACACCTGGGCTAGCTAATCAAGCTTTCTAGAAACTTCCTTGCAGGTGTTTTAAGGCAAGTTGGAGCTAAGCGCTGCAGGACACCGGCCCTCCAAGACAGAGATTGTAAACCCCTGACCTATGTACATTATTAGTTTGTCACAGGTGTCAATTCCAGTTCCTGGAGGGCCGCAGCTCTGCACAGTTTAGATAGAGTTGGAATTAAACTGCAGAGCTGCAGCCCTCCAGGAACTAGAATTGACACCTGTGTATGTACATTGGACTGTGTCTCATAGTGAGAAAATAGCTGGAGGAACAAGAGCGGCATCCAAAATACCATACTGTAATTTCTAAAAGATCCATTCTATGTTAATATGAATACTGCTTTTACAACATTGTCACTGTCACGTGACACGTACTGGCATCAGGTTACAGGTGTAATGTTGTATTTTTTGTAATTACACTATTGTAATAAAGTGTTTATCAGATTAACTCATAATTACAAACTTGTAGGTTAGAGAGCTATGACGTGTACCATGTGACCATTGAACCATCCAACTGCTGAAGATTACAGTGCATTGGGTGTTAATAGTATTGTCATAGAAGTGCACAGCTTCAACACACCTCAGAATAGAGTATCACGTTTTGCTATCTTGATATTATAATTACAACACACAATGCACTATGCACTCAATAGTGAAATGTTTGAAGTTATCTAGTCCTTAATCTAAAAACTCCGCCCTCTCTGATGCATAAATAAAGCTGTGAAAGTTGAGTACATGAAGTGTCCCAACTGCACTACACGATAGGGAATCATTAGATTGAGATACTAATGGTTGGTAAACTTTTTAAACCACTAACGATTTCCACCATTTTGTGCTTTAGCTCAAGATGCTAACATTAAACCAGACACCATGGCATGTCTAAAACGGAATTTTATGCGTTTTCATCATATTATTGTGTTTAAAAAATGATTTCGAAGTTTAATTAAATATCACAATAACAGAGTTGAGAAATAATGAATCTATTGTTAGTGTGTTCCAAATATTTCTTATAAATTATAAAGAAAATAAAGAAAAATAAACTATACAATATTTGCGAGGTATTTAAAGGCTTGTTTAGCTAAATAAAAAAAAGATCTGACCAAAATCTACCAATATTGCAATCTCTCCAGCAGGGGTGGACTGGGAAAGCATTTTCCACCGGGCCAATGTTATAGACAGGCAGGGCCAGCACGCCCATAGAGGCGACCTAGGCGGCCGCCTAGGGCGGCAGAATACAGAGGGCGGTTATATCCGTATATCCGATGTATCAGTTATATCCGCGTCTAGGGCGGCGTCCGCGACACTACCCTCACCACCCGCGCCCTCAGTTATATCCACGTCTAGGACGGCGTCTGCGACACTACCCTCACCAGCCGGGCCCCCTTAGTTATATCCGCGTCTAGGGCGTCTGCGACACTACCCTCACCACCCGTGCCCTCAGTTATATCCGCGTCTAGGGCAGCAAAATAGAGAGGGCGGCGGCGTCCACGACAGCTCCCTCGACACCCCCCCTCGCTTTTTACTTTAGGGTTGAGGGCATAACCGTCCTTTGCCTAGAGCGGCAGTTCAGCTTGCTCCAGCCCTGCAGACAGGTCATATCTGATGCGATCTAGAAATTGAAGACCGGGGTGTAGACTGACGTTGGGGTTGTTGTGCACAGCAGGCTAGAGTCATGCTGCCAGGCCACATCCAATGAGATCTAGAAAGTGAAGAGCGGGGTGGTGGGGGGTTAATGGGGGCACGGCAGGCCAGACTCGCGATGGCAGGCTTGATTGACCCCTCAGGCCTTCCGGAAAAGTCCCGGTGCTTCCTATGGCCAGTCCACTCCTGCTCTCCACACTGCACACTACTCCTACAACTCCTACCCACCCGGAGTGAGGGTTTGGGAGCCATTTTATATCATTGACCCTGCTCATGGATTATACCATTTTAGAGTTTGGAATGGTAACATATAGGTGAATATACATAAAAAACACATTAAACAAAATATAAATTAGTAGAAGTAAATACGTATGCATAAATAACCTAAATTACAACACAAAAAACAACCATTATGAATATACACAAGAGAATAATGAGACATCTGATGATATCACTCCAAAATGGCTGCTCTGAATGGAAAGTGGGAAAATATTGTATAAATGTCCTGGGTTGCAATCTAAAGGGTTTGCTTCTGAGGAGTGGATACCTGTGATTGTGTGTAATCTTTCTATGTTTTGTTTTTAATAAATGGTGTTTAAAGGAACATGTGTATGTGGTTATTTCAGTGTGTATGGAACGATAATATGGGATATTGTTTCAATTGGTTTTAAATAAAAATGGTACATAAACAGTGAAAACCTTAGACAGCAGACAAAAAACTCACATTAAATAAACACACATGCACAATATACTGACAGTACTACACAGATCCGTGTAAACATATTTGTTTGCCGGCAATCTGACCATGTTTGAAAATGTATGCATGTTATGGGTGCAATACGTGTTTGCAACATTCATTTATTTATTTTCTTTTCAGCTTAGTCCCTTTATTAACCTAGGGTCGCCAAAGCGGAATGAACCGCCAACTTATCCAGCATATGTTTTACGCAGCAGATGTCCTTCCAGCTGCAACCCATAACTTGGAAACATCCATACACTCTCACACTTGAACTTTCTCTTTTGTTTTTTGTTTGAGTACTGTGGATTCAGATATACCACACTTGACTGTTTTTCACCTGCTATACTGTGTGTATTCAATTCCTGATGCAGCAGCTGTTGTTGTTGTTTTCTTTACAACACAGCTTGTTATTTCCTAAGTATGTGCAAATCAAAATTGCATACATTTTTTACTGTATATGGTGTGAAAAGTATAGTAAATGAGCCAAGTGCATGCATATTTATTTTAATGTACTTTATTCTCTCAATAGAGCTTCATCAGGCAATGTAGAACATTTGTGAATGGAGTTGCATGTTCTTGAATTTGTAACTAAAAAGAGAATGAATGTAGGAAAGTCAGACATATAGTACTGGATTGACCTGGCCCACAGCAGTATAGCTAGGTGCATCAGGGAGATCAGGAGATGGTTTAGAGTTGTTTTATGCGTTATACTGGTTAAATGCCTGGGTTGTTTTGTTATAAACTTGATCTGTGTTTTTGTTTAAGTTGGCTTCTGTGTTTTAAGCCCAATATTTCTTTGGTTTATAAAAAAATATTGGCTGTCACCATTAATGAGAATGATGTGTAAAGGAAGCACCCTACTGGTTCGATCTTTATAATGTTTTGGAGCTCAGAATAATAGGAGAATTGTCTTTGCTGTCTCCTTCCTGCTTATTTTGCCAGATCGCTGCAAACAAAGACACTTAGAGTCATGGGGTGTATGGTGCATAAGTGTAATTTTCTCCAACATGTGAGGAAACTAAGTTTTGCGCCTTAGATGCTAGCACCCTGCTAGCCGTTTTAGATTAAACAGTTTAGCTATGTTATGTTAGCTCCAGTTGCCCACATACAGAAATTGTTACAATACTTTCACCAGTACTTGTGTTGTGAAATCATTTAATCTAGAATAATAAAGCCTCTCCTCCTATGTGGAAAATATTATAGTAACTTATAGTAAACACTATAATATATTTATAATACAATACATATAGGCTACTGTCGTTTTCTGCAGTTACTGTGCATATTATACTACATTACCATACAATTTTTCATTCATTCATTCATTTTCTTTTCGGCTTAGTCCCTTTATTAATCCGGGGTCGCCACAGCGGATTGAACCGCCAACTTATCCCAGCACGTTTTTACGCAGCGGATGCCCTTCCAGCCGCAACCCATCTCTGGGAAACATCCACACACACTCATTCACACACACACACACACACACACACACACACACACACACACACACACACACACACACACACTCATACACTACGAAAAATTTTGCCTACCCAATTCAAATGAGCACACCCAGACCAACACAGAGAGAACATGCAAACTTCACACAGAAACGCCAACTGAGCCGAGGCTCGAACTAGCGACCCAGCGACCCTCTTGCTGTAAGGCGACAGCACTACCTACTGCGCCACTGCGTCACCACGTAGTTTACATAGTCTTTTACTATAAAATACTATGTAAATACTGCAGCATTTTTTCATGTACGTTATGATGTCCATTTTGTCTTCTTCTGTGGTACTTACAGTGTTGTTTACCTTGCACTTTGCACTTTGAAAGGTTGCACATTGAGCTGTGCTTGTACACTAACGCATTTAAATGACATATAAGATAATTTTTATTCACTTGTTTATGATCTGTGCTATTTCTTTCAGCGCCCTGCTGTATTGTCCTGTTCTTCATCCTGCTCTTCACTCGTTTCTGGCTCATCAGTGTGCTTTATGCCACCTGGTGGTACATCGACTGGGACACACCTTCACGAGGAGGGAGAAAAGTGCCATATCTCTGCAAACTGCGTGTGTGGGAGTACATGAGAGATTATTTCCCCATTAGGGTGAGTGACCAGATTTACTGAAGCACAGCAAAATTCTTCTTGGCTGTTGACATTTTGAACATCCTTAGCAGCTTCACTTTTCTTTTCTTTATTTTACAGAAATTGTTTAAAATAAACTACTGTATCTGAGATTGACGAGTTTATTAGGAGAGTCGTCAGATTTTAGAATGTGATTTACAGGCGGAAAGAATGAGATTGCAACCCTATACTGCCATCTAGTGTTCATTCATAATGTGTATCATATATTCAAATTGATAAATAATATCTTATCACTTTGAAGTTGCTCATCAAGGACTATGGAATACTAATTTACATCATTTAATTTAAACTTTAATTTCAGTGAGCTTTTAACTTAGACAAACAAACATACAAACAAATAAACAGGGTTACATTAGATTTGAAATGACAATCTCTAAACCATGCCCATCTTTCTAACTCTCTTCTCAGATGGAATGGTGGGCCAAATCAAAGGTTACTGTGGGCCAACTTTGGCCCGTGGGCCTTAGTTTGGGCATCCCTCCCTGCTATAGAAAGTATTCGTTTAAAAGAGAGAAATGGTGTGCTGTATCTGTTGCGCTGTAGGATGAGGGAACATTATTTCACCTGTGTATTGACCTTCTACAGCAGGGGTGGCCAACCCTGTTCCTGGAGAACCACCTTCCTGCAAATTTCAGTTGCAACCCATATCAAACACACCTGCCTGTAATTATCACGTGGTGTTCAGGTCCTAATTAATTGGTTCAGGTGTGTTTGATATGGGTAGCAACTGAAATCTGCAGGAAGGTGGCTCTCAGGGAACAGGGTTGGCCACCCCTGTTCTACAGTATCACACTATATGCCAGTGGTCACCAAACTTGTTCCTGGAGGGCCGGTGTCCTGGAGATTTTAGCTCCGACCCTAATCAAACACACCTGAACAAGCTAATCAAGGTCTTGGTTTACTTGAAACATCCAGGCAAATTTCTAATCAGCCAATCACGTCAGCAACTCATTGCATTTAGGCATGTAGACACGGTCAATTTGCTGCAGTTCAAACCGAGCATCAGAATGGGGAGAAAAGGTGATTGAAGGGTCTTTGAAGGTAGCATGGTTGTTGGCGCCATAAGGTGCCTTGTTGATGTCAGAGGTCAGAGGAGAATGGCCAGTCTGGTTCGAGCTGATAGAAAGGCAACAGTAACTCAAATAACCACTCGTTACAACCGAGGTATGCAGAAGAGCATCTCTGAATAAGTCCAACCTTGAGTCAGATTGGCTACAGCAGCAGAAGACCACACCGGGTGCCTCTCCTGTTAGCTAAGAACAGGAAATTGAGGCTGCAATTCACACAGGCCCACCAAAATTGGACTAAAGAAGATTGGAAAAACGCTGCCTGATCTGATGAGTCTCGATTTATATAAGATATGCAAATATTTTTAAAGTAGAGTAAAGGTATAAGAAGTTTTCATAGCACAGCTGGCGTTTATGGTCTTGTCAGGATAGGCGTGTAAATGATTGATATCCCTAAACCCTGGTTTGATAATGTATGAGTACTCCTACTGTACACACACACACACGGATGTTTCACTGTAAGGTGCTTCATCCAAATTTATTTAACACACTGTTTAACATTTTATAGTTTTACAGTCTAGTAGTAATTCATTTATAAATTATCTATTCATTCATTTATTCATTTTCCTTCACCTTAGTCCCTTTATTCATCAGGGGTCGCCACAGTGGAATGAACCGCCAACTTATCCAGCGTATGTTTTACGCAGCGGATGCCCTTCCAGCTGCAACCAAATACTGGGAAACATCCATACACACTCATTCACACACATGCACTACTGCCCAATTTAGTTTATTCAATTCACCTATAGCGTATGTCTTTGGACTGGGGGAAACCAGAGCACCCGGAGGAAACCCACTTGAACATGAGGAGAACATGGAAACTCCACACAGGAATGCTAACAGGTCGGTGCAATAGCCCAGTGGTTAGTGCACCAACATATGGTGCAGTAGCACATCAGGGCATCCAGGGTTTGAATCCTGACTCGAGCACATTTCCCATAATAATATATATTTTGAAGGACAAAAAAAAACTACTTACTGAAATATTCCTCATCTTGTTGAATCAGGAATTTTAGATTGAATGACAGCGCTCAGACTTGTTCAACAGAAAAACAGAGTTTGTATTAATCATTTAATCAAACAACTTCTGTTTCCTTCAACAAAATTCATGAGCAAAATTGTGTTTACTCCGAGATCTGAGCTCTGCTTTCAAATTTATAGTCTGCTTAAGGAGATGAGGAGAAATATTTCACCGGTGGTTGACGCAAAATTTTATCTTAATCAATTACTCACTTTGAATACAAATGCTCCATTTAGCCAACAGCAAGAGCCCTTTAATACAAATGACGCATTCAGTCATATGTTTTGTCTCCTTGAGAATCCTTGGACAAACCCAGATTTTGTACGGTGAATTTACAAAAATGGAATTTCCTCAGGAAAAAACCCCATTGTAAGTAAATTCTTGAGCTCTTGAAGGCCTTGAATCTATCACTAACCTAAGTGAAATTTAAATTAGGTGCAAAATCTATACAGCAATCGCATCTCTTCAGTTGTTTTCATAGAGATGTCTATTTTTGTTTTTCTTCATAATCATGGCCATGACGTGGTTTAAAGCCCCCAAACTGTTCACAGTTACTGATTGACTCTGTGTCTTCTGAGGCCACATGTCCTCACTGTTGTTCAGTAGGTGAAAATACTGTCATTATGGATTGATATGAACAGATAATACACTAACGTTTCAAAGGTCTGAGTGATAATGTTTCCCCTGCTAATCAAATGAGAGTGTTTTTGATGTAGCCGATGCACTCCCTACACTACCTGACAAAAGTCTTGTCGGCAATCCCACTTGTAAGAGCAACAAATAATAACTTCTAGTTGATCATTTGGAAAGGTGGCAGAAGTTAGATTTTTCTGATATACCGTCTGTTGAACTGCATCCTGATCAAAAATGGCAGAAGACCTATTGGAACCCGCATGGACCCAAGACTCTCACAGAATCAGTCAAGCTTGGTGAAGGAAAAATCATGGTTTGTGGTTACATTCAGTATGGGGGCGTGCAAGAGATCTGCAGAGTGGATGGTAACATCAACAGCCTGAAGTATCAAGACATTTGTGCTGCTCATTACATTACAAACCATAGGAGAGGGCAAATTCTTCATCAGGACAGCGCTCCTTCTCATACCTGAGCCTCCGAGTTAGTTCCTGAAAGCAAAAAAGGTCAATGTGCTCCAGGATTGGCCAGCCCAGTCACCAGACATGAACATTATTAAGCTGGGCTGGGTCCTTCTCAGCCCTGGAGTTTCAAGCCTTAGACCGGCCCACCTCAGTTCACGACTGACTATATTAAAATAACGTCATTTCCATTTTAGTTCCTAATGACACTATCACGCCTTTTACAAGGAAACAGCTGCTTTAGAACTTCTAATGTTAAAAACTTCTAATGTGATGTTCTTTAAAACATCACAACGTCCTTTCCTGCAATATCAGATTATTTTGTGCAAAATTCTTTATAGATATCCAGTCCTTTGTAACGGTGGTCACACAAATAAAATATAAATGAAATATGTACACCCACCCAAACAGTATCTTATGTCATTACACTAAAAATGAAAAATTTTATATATATATGTATGTATATATATATATGTATGTATATATATATATATATATATATATATATATATATGTATGTATGTATGTATGTATGTATGTATGTATGTATGTATGTATGTATGTATGTATGTATGTATGTATGTATGTATGTATGTATATATATATGTATGTGTGTATATATATGTATGTGTGTGTGTGTATATATATATATATATATATATATATATATATATATATATATATATATATATGTATGTATGTATGTATGTATGTATGTATATATATGTATATATGTATGTATAGATATGTGTATATATATATATATATATGTGTGTGTGTGTGTGTGTGTGTGTGTGTGTGTGTATGTGTGTGTGTGTGTGTAGAACTAATTATTAAAACTAATTATTACATCTTTACCAATTTACAAATAAACTGCAAGAAATGAGTACTCTAAATATATCCTTTGTTTCAAACTCTCCAACTTTAATGAGAGTTACCCAATGAACGATCACTGACAGTTTGACTTGATGTTCGTGAGAAGCGGAGCCAAGGCAGAGTCTCTGAGGGCCATTGTGATTTTGAACGGACATTTGTCATGTTTTTAAAATGGCACGAACAGACTCTTAGTCACAGCCAGTGATTTGGGTTTATGTTATAGGTTGAATGGATATTACGATAGAAAGATCACTGAATGTCTATGAAAGCGTGTTTCACACTGGTGGTTGATTTTTTTTCATGGAAAATCTGCTGGAAATTCTTACACTGGTTCTCAGAATTGTCTGGTTTTCTGAATGTCAGTCCGAAGCTTTAACATCTAACCACAAAGAAACCAGTCTGTTGAGTGCTTTTGGTTTAGGGCTGAATCTGTTGAAGCTCTTATTAGTATTAACTGATCCTAGATCAGTGTGAAAGGTCAAAATAGAGCCTTTGCACTGCACATGAACAACACATGATCATTGACCTTTAACAACTGCCTTTTTTGTTTTCTGAAAATTTTTGCTTATTTGAAAACACAATCACCATGAGATCAGAAGATCATTTTTAATAGATTGTCATAGTTTATTTTATCATTTTATTATTATTATTATTATTAATATTTGTATTATTATTCATTCATTCATCTTCCTTCGGCTTAGTCTCTATTTCAGAGGTCGCCACAGCGGAATGAACCGCCAACTATTCTAGCATATTCCTTTTACACAGCGAATGAAGTTCCAGCCGCAACCAAGTACTGGGAAACTTCACACACACACACACACACACACACACACACACACACACACTCATACGGCCAATTCAGTTTATTCAATTTCATCTAAAGCACATGTCTTTGGACTCTAGGGGAAACTGGAGTACCCAGAGGAAACCCACATGAACACGGGGAGAACATGCAAACTCCACACAGAAATGCCAACTGGCCTAGCCTGGACTCGAGCCAGCGACCTTCTTGCTGTGAGGTGACAGTGCTAACCACTGAGCCATCGCGCTACCCAATATTATTATTATTATTATTATTATTATTATTATTATTATTGTTATCGTAAAACACTTTACCATAAGTTTGATTTAATAATGTATTTATTTACATGAACTAACAATGAACAATACACTTATTACAGTATATATTCGTCTTTGTTAACATTAGTTAATGGATTGCAATGCAATCTCCACATTTTAGATGATGATTAGTTTAATTTACAGATAAAGATTATATATATATATATATATATATATATATATATATATATATATATATATATATACATATAAATTTGCTTGACTGCTCCATGATTTGGGGGTAATGGACAAATTTTTACAGATGTATAATATTTTATTTTATAATATTGTTATTACATAACAGGGCAACGTAGTGTCGCAGTAGGTCGCTGTCGCCTCACAGAAAGAAGGTCGCTGGTTCGAGCCTCGGCTGGGTCAATTGGCAATTCTTTGTTGAGTTTGCGTGTTCTCCCCATGTTCATGTGGGTTTCCTCCAGGTGCTCTGGTTTCCCCCAAACGTCCAAAGATATGCGGGACCGGTGAGTTGGGTAGGCTAAATTGTACTGTATGAGTGTGAATGAATGTTTACCAGTCATGAGTTGCGGCTGGAAGGGCATCCGCTGCGTAAAAATGTGCTGGATAAATTGGCGGGTTGTACCACTGTGGCAACCCCAGATTAATAAAGGGACTAGGCCGAAAATGAATGAATGTTATTACATAACATTACTATAATAATATTATATTTTATTGTAAATTTTACTGAAAATGTATTTGTTTGACTATCACTGTACAATATATGATAAAAACGTGGCTAATTCGTATGAATTTGTACAATCTCATTCAATTTAGTACGATTTGCTCATATAGGCATATGTTTTACAGTTGCAATCAGAATTATCAAACCCCCTGAATTATATATATATATATATATATATATATATATATATATATATATATATATATATATATATATATATATATAGGTAGGTATATAGGTACAAGTTATACTTCTAGATATTTTTTGGGGCCCCCGAGATTTCCTGGGGCCCTAAGCAGCCGCTTACCTCGTTTATTGGTTAAATGCGCTTCTGGTATGGTTGTATGCTAATGTTTGCCTGAATTTAATCTGCGAATATTGGAGTTATTAAAATCAATAAAACCTTGCTAGATTTGACATCCCGCTGCTTTGTTTACTTTAGTAACCAGGGAAACAGTGCTATTTCTGTAGTTCTTTAGGCGCCACCTGCTGGATTAGCTTTTTTTATTAAAGTCCCTTTAAGGCAAGTCATTTCACTCGGTGGCTATCTTTGAAATGCCTCTTGGGCAGTATGCTCAGGCATTCTGTTTGAATAGGGAAACTACATTCTACAAAATTTCTTGCCAAGCTTACATTTAAATTTCATATTAGGAAACACCAATAAAATTAAACAGCAACTGTCTCTTTAGTTTAATTTCTAAATTCTAGTCATTCTAGTCACTAATCACAAAATCTGCTGAAACTTATGTCTGGTCCGAGTTCCTGAAGAATCATCAGTCTATAGCAATCCCTGATTGACTCTTGCACTCGTAGGCAGGACTTCTTTCACCACCCTGAAAAATCCAGCTTAAACCAGCCTAGGATGAGTGCCTGGTTTTAGCTGATCGACCAGCCTGGTTTTAGAGGGGTTTTGGCCACTTCCAGGCTGGTTTATAGCCATTTCCAGCCTGGTTTTAGCTGGAGAGGCTAAAATGAAGATGACCAGCTATAACCAGCTTGACCAGTCTAGCCAGGCTGGGAGCCCAGCCAAAACCAACTATGTCCAGCTAAAACCAGGATGGTCAAGCTGGTTTTATATGGTTTAAGCTGGTCACTTTCCAGCCTGACCAGCTAGGAGCAGGCTGGAAATGGCTGGAAACCAGCCTGGAAGTGGCCAAAACCCGTCTAAAACCAGGTTGGTCGATTTTTCAGCAGGGCATATCGATCGTTACACATTTTCCCATTTAAAACTAAACGAGTGACATGTCTTGTGTATTCTATAGTCTTTGTTTTTATACAGTATATGAATAATGTTTTAGTTTAGGACTAGTTTCTTACAAATTAATATTTAGTAAATATACTGTGAGTTAAAATGTCACCAATGTTACCAGTTGAAATCTACAGTGGATATGAGGTCCTAAACTGTATGGAAAGAGTCTTAAAAATGTCTTAGGAGGTAATTGATTTTCACTCTCTCATTCCTGTAACGTTACATAACTTGTTCGTGGTTAACTCACATTGCATTTACTGATACTAACAAGCATGAATTTGAATTTGAATTGATCAAGCATTGGATTTGATGTAAATGTTGAACTGTGATTAGTAAATAGTGGACAAGTTCATTATTAGTTCATGTTTGTAAATACATTAATATTTACTATTATGTGACATGTGTAATGTGTGAATATTATTATTATTATCATTCAAAATCAAATTGACACGTCTAAAAATTATGCCGAAAACATCCAACATCTATTCTTGTCCATGAAGCCGTTTCATATGTCACAATAGGAAAGAGAACTTCTGTTTGATGACATTTATTTGTCTTTGTTGTTTTATTAGCTGATAAAGACGGCTGACTTGGACACTAGGAAGAACTATGTGATGGGTTTCCATCCTCATGGTATTCTCGTGGCTGGTGCTTTTACAAATTTCTGCACGGAGGCGACTGGATTTAGCAAACTCTTCCCTGGGATAAAGAGCAACCTTCTCATGCTGCCTCTCTGGTTCAGAGCCCCCTTCTTCAGAGATTACATCATGTCAGCAGGTCAGTAGTTTGATGCACTGTAAGATAAACAAATTTACAACTAACTTTATAATTAAAAAACTCTATTTGAGGTAAAATGCCTCGAAGATGTTAACATTAGGACTTGAAAATGTAAAGATATTCACATCCCAGTAGGCACAAATGGCATTAAAGACTGATTTCAGATGACTGCCTTGATGTAAATTGACCTCATATTCAGTTGGTGCCAAAAATATCCTAATTCACTGCAGTTTTATTACATGTTTTTGATGTAAAAAAAGCTGGCCAAAACATTTACAAAATTCAGCGTACAGTACATTTTTCATTAGGAATTGAAGCTTTTAGATATGATAAAACCTTCCTTATATTATAAACCTTTTTGTGTCATTATTTTGGTGGTCAAAAGGACCCGGGGCTCAACACAGCGGAATGAACCACCAACTTATCCAGCAGGTTTTTACGAAGCGGATGCCCTTCCAGCTGCAACCCATCTCTGGGAAAAGAGCAGTTCAATCTCTTATGAAGTTTGCTGTATAAAAATATAACATTTTGAATTATTTATAATTATCGGCCTATACATATCAGCTATACGGCCTCCAAGTCTAAAGAGTTATCGGTTATCGGCCAAAAAAATCCATGTCGATTCATCCCTAGGTAAAGGCATTAGAAAATACAGTTTTACCAGCATAAAATCAATGGAAACCTATGTAACATCCCTACTGCTCACAAAAACAAACACGTGTGTGTATTCCAGGGCTGGTTCCATCAGACAAGGAGAGTGCCGGTTATCTGCTCCGGAGGAAGGGCGGAGGGAATGCGGTGGTCATTGCAGTCGGTGGAGCTCCTGAAGCTTTGGATGCACATCCTGGTGACTACACCGTTCACCTGGCCAATAAGAAAGGCTTTATTAAGCTTGCAATAGAGCACGGGTAAGCAAGAGCTTTCTCCTGATCACTTAATAGTTTAACAGGTTGTCTCTTGTTGACACAAGATTTTGTCTTTTGTGTTTGTGCCAATTATTTGTTGCCAGATTGCCAAAGTTGCTCATTTATGAAATGCAAACTTGTGCAACTTGCATTGGAACGTAATAGTTCTACATTTACATAACGCTCTGTGGCAAAAACTAAAGAGTTTGAAGGGTTAGTTCACCCAGAAATGAACATTTATCATTCATTCTCATGTCATTCCAAACCCCTAAAACCATCATTCACTTTCAAAACACAAATGTGACCCTGGATTTGAATTGGGTTTATTTTTGGCAGTAACCAAAAATACATTATTGTATGGGTCAAATATAATTTTTTATTTTATGGCAAAAATCATTTGAATTTAACGTTAAGATCAAGTTGTATAAATACATTTAGCAAATTCCCTACAGTAATTTTTACAAAAGTCAAATTTGCATTAGTTAATGTGCATTGCTGGGGGTGACACAGTGGTGCAGTGGGTAGCGCTATCGCCTCACAGCAAGAAGGTTGCTGGTTCGAGCACTGTCTGAGTCAGTTCATGTGGTGTTTCCCCCACAGTCCAAAGACATGTGATGTAGGTGAATTGGGTAAGCTAAATTGTCCGTAGTGTATGTGTGTATGTCCTGGGCCTCCATGTTGAGGGTTGAGCGTTGGGCTGACAACCCACATCAGAAAAGTAGATTTTACGTAACACCAATATGATGCGACTAAATATCAACTTCGAAATAAATGACCTTGAGAGTGAGTAGATAAGTAATGTGCATTGCTAAGAATTTAATTTGGACAACTTCAAATGTGATTTGCTCAGTATTTTGGATTTTTTAAACACTTAGTTGTATACAAAAAGGTGTGTCTCTGCAAAATATCGTCCAAATCTAACAAATTATATACTGTATATCGTTTGTCACCTTATAAAGTTCTATCTGACATTTTGTCAAAATTGAGTTATTGACACATTCTTATTAAATTACAACTTATTTACATTTTGGGGTGATTTTTATTTATAAGTTATTTAAATTTTAAGACCTTTTAAGACCTAAATTTTAAGACCTTTTAAGACCTTTTTTTAGACCTTTTATTAAAAAAAAACGGTCCCACTTTATATTAAGTGGCCTTAACTAATATGTACTTACACAGGAATTAATAGTTTGCTACAATGTACTTATTATGTAAATACATGTATTTACTGTATACTTATGCTTGATTAAATACCGGTATGTAATTACATTTGTAAATACACTGCTAACCATTCCCTACACCTTAACCCACCCATAAACCTACCCACACCACCAAACCTGTCCCTAACCCAACCCCTATCCCAACTCAAGAGCACCACAAGTGTTCTCAAATACTTTATGAACACAGTATGTACATTGTATTTATTTTTTGATGTAAGTACATAGTAGTTAAGGACACTTAATATAAAGTGGGACCAAAAAAACAAATGTTACACACATACTGTTGGCTATATGGAATGCAAATACTTTGAAGCTCAATATCTCAAAATCATTCAGAACGCAGATAGAACCTTATAATTCCAAGGTGAGGATATATCAAAGAAACACTTATACAATATATTTTAATATAATGTATAAATCGCTGTGGTCCAAGTTCAGAAATTGAGATCTTTTAAATGAAATCCAGGAGCT